AAGGACAGTGTCCCGCTTGCTGGAGAACAGTGGGAGGGAAGAGGTGTGGGAGATGAGGTCTGGGAGGCCAGGGTTAAAGGGAATGGAGGTGGTGGACAGGTCTCGTGGGGCCTCACAGCTCATTTTTAAAGGATTTTGGCTTTTATGCTTACTGAATGGAAGAGAGGAATGAGTTAAAATGTTAGTGGAATGACTCTGTGGTGTTGAGGACAGACTAAAGCAGGGGGAGCCACTGCAGTAATCCAGTAATCCAGGTGAGAGGTGATGGTGGCTTGCCCCAGAGTGCTAGCAAGGGAGGTGGTGAGCAGCGGGTGGGTCTCAGATGTGTTTCAAAGGTGTGGCTGGCAGGATTTGCTGACAAATGAGAGGAGACATGAGGTCAGGGAGATAGAACAGAGTCAAGGATGACCCAGAGGGTTTTGGCCTTGGTAACCATATGCATGGAGTTGCCACTTGCTGAGATAAGGAGAGATGGTGAGAAGAGCAGGTTTTGGGGGGAGAAGCTCAAGATCAGGCTTGGTCAGTTTGAGAACACCTAGATATCAAAGTAGAAGTATCAAATTGACAGTTGGCTACATGAGTCTGGATTTGAAGGAAGAGTTTCCAGGCGAGTGATATAAATCATGGAATCCTTGGCATGTAGGTTGTATTTAAAGCCACAGAATGGGGGCGCCTGGGTGGCTCAGTAGGTTAAGCGTCTGCCTTCGGCTCAGGTCATGATCCCAGTGTCTTGGGATTGAGCCCTGCATTGGGCTCCCTGCTCCTCGGGGAGCCTGCTTCTCCTCCCTCTGGTCCTCCACCCCGGCTCGTGTGCTCTCTCTCTCTCAAATAAATAAATACAATAAAATAAAAAAGTTAAAAAAAAATAAAGCCACGGAATGGATGAGATCATCAAGGACATGCAGGTGGAGAGGAAGATGGAGGGACCAAGGACTGAGTTCTTGGGCCCTGCCAACATATTGTGGGTGGGAGTACTGGCAAAGGAAACCAAAGAAGAGTTTACTGTGTGCCAAGCCCTGGCTCAGCACTTTCACAAGTATTAACTCATTTAATTCTTGCTTTCACTCTATGAAGTAAGAACTAGCATTATTGCCCATTTTTACAGACAATGAAACTGAAGTACAAAGACTTTAAATACCTTGGTCACGGGTGGGTGGTAGAGCTAAGATTCAAGCCCAGGCCGCCTCCCAGCGTCTTCCCTTAACCATCAGGCTACACCTGCCCTCAGTGACTGCACCAAATTTTCATACATTTCATCCATGCAACAGAATGAGCTTCTAGTACACAGCGACCTGAACAGGATCCATCACAAACCCTCTGAATCTCAGTTTCCATATTACTAACACACCAGCCTGCCTCCTTGATGGTATTGTGCTGAAACTAAAAATGATCATGGATGTGAGAGTCTGTATAAGCTGCAGCGTGCAGAATCTATGTTACACTGGGTCACAGGATCTCCGGGGTTAGAAGAGGCCCTTCTAAGCCCTTGAATAGAATATCATCCCCTTCCTGATGCATCATGTTCCTTAATAACATCCCTGACATACAGTGTGCTACTTCTCTGCTTGAGCCCTTTCTCTCTCTACAGTTCTATTTGTTAGTAACTTCTCTGAGCCAAAAGATACTCCCTATAATTTCTACTGATCAGATCTAGCTTCCTCTCCCTGAGACACTGAGTATAAATCTATGATGTAATAGCATGCTCATATGCCCTTGGATTTTTCAAGGCATTCCTCTGATTGCCTTTCCCTACTTGAACTCAGATTCATTTTCCCAAATGAATCAGTTACCTGCAAGGAGAATACAAATTATTTGAAGAGAAACAAAATGACTTGTAATAGGACAGTTGGTTGCACAGGGGACAAAGGAGGCTGAGAAGAATCCCTGAGGTAACCAGAAGATTAGAAACGGCAGGAGACTAACACCATCCTACCCTTAGAAGGGAGGAGGTGGTGGTATTAGAGTCTGGGAGCCTGGGTCACCTAGCTGAAGCTAGAGCCACAAAAAGCCTTTGCATTGGGCTGGAACCATGGAAGGGACACTGCCAGGAACAGGGAGCAAGGAAAAGAAAAACCCTGGCTTCTCCCTTGCCCTGACCCCCTCCAATCTCCCAGCAGGGCTTCCTCTTGACTAAATTCAGTGGAAACCCCGTGGCTGGGTTTTTCTTTCCTTTCCTTTCTTTTTTTTTTCCTTTCTTTCTTTCCTATGTGAAAGTGTTTTTTTTCAACTGTAAGCGGCAGGTGAATGATTAACACCAGCTTGGCGGGCAGCTGCATCATTGTGCTCTCTGCTGTTGCCATAACAGGGCATTCTCCCTGTGTGTCTACCTTCACATCGGCTGCCATCGTTGTGTAAGGACGCGAGTCATAATAGATGAAGGGATCACCTTACTTAGAATGACCTCATTTTATCTAATATGTCTGCAACAATCTATTTCCAAATGAGGTCACAATCTGAGGTACCAAGGGTTAGGACTTCAACATACCTCTTTGAAGGACACAATTCGACCCATAACCAGAATCTTTGGGATCTAGATGGTAAGTCAAACCATGAGCCTAGAGAGGAGCCCATTTCATTAGCCCCCAGGGAGTGAGGTGAAGGGAGATCAGAGACCTGGCTTGGGAATGCCATCTTGGAGAATTGAGGGGATGAGGAGAAACCAGCAAAGGAGGCTGCGAAGGAGCTTTGAGTGAGAGGGGAGGCAAAGGGAGGCATGTGGGGTCCTGGAAGCCAGAAGAGGAAAGGAGACGAGGAGGAGAGGCTCAGCTGAGGCCAAGCCAGCTGACAGATCAAGAAAGAGGATAGATAACAAAACAAGTGAATAAACGAAGAGCAGAATCAGACCTATAAGTACAGAGAACAAACTGACGGTTGCCAGAGAGGATGGACAAAATGGGGGAAGGGGGGTGGGAGATGCAGTTATGGAATGAATGAGCCACTGGAAGAAAAGGCACAGCATAGGGAATATAATCAATGATCTTGTAATCGCATTGTATGGTGACAGATGGTAGCTACACTTGTGAGCACAGCATAACCTATAAACTCCTTGAATCACTATGTTGTACAGCTAAAAATAATGTAACGTTGTGTTACAACTATACTAAAAAAAAAAACAAAACAAAACTCATCCAAAAAAGAGGAGGTTGGGGAAATGGACATCTGATTTGACAACTCTGAGGTCACTTGTGACCTTGACGAACATATTTCAGTGGAGTGGAGAGGCTGAAAGCCTGATTCGTGTGTGCTCGTGAGAGAACGGGAGGAGAGGACTCGGGAACAGCTGGTACAGAAATTTCTATTTATGTGCTCATGGCTTCTCCACTCTAGCATGGAATAGCCAGAAGGGCAAGGACCTGGGAGTATCCCATTTGGTTCTGTATCCCAGTGCCCAGTGCTGTATTTGTTAAAACCATGTTAAATATTGTACTAGGATCTCCTTCAAATGTGGGACTCTGTAATTTTCCAGTTTGGTCAAAGCAACAAAGAGTAGAGAGGATCGATAGGGCTGGACTAGATTTTTCTGGTTCTTTCCAGCTCTAAAATTCTATGATTGTGTGACCTGTTCTATCGACCAGCCTTACATTAATACAGCTAAGAATCTAATGAGTTGTTTGTTGTCATTTGTATTTGCAAGCAACTGTTAAATGGCTGGAATAAGTGTTGCATTCATATATTGAAAATTGTTGAGTACATACAATATGTTAGGTGCTATATATATGGTCGAGGGTGGTCAGAAGAGGCAAGAGAGGGCTCCCTCTACTAATACTCTGGAGGTCCAGGGGGCTTTGATGTGGTTGATACTACTGTGGTTGCTGCTGAAGAGGGAAGAGCCCCGAGGAGCCTGCTTGCAGGGGCTTGCAGAGCTGCAGCTGCCCAGGACACAGAGCAGCATTCACCAAAGCATAAGCGACCTCTATTTGCCTCACCACTAATCAGCCGGGGGTGGCCTGACAGAATAGCCGTTCGCGCAGTGGGAGGATGGGAAGATGCGGTCCTCAGATCCACCCTGCTACAAGGCAAACACCATGTTCTCCACCACATTCAGGACAGGAGGCTTCTTCTGCGGGGGAACAGAGCTTTTGGGTTTTGCTGCATGATCTGTTTAGGCTCTCAGTAAGGCCCTGAGAGCAGGGCAGGGTTTAGGCATAGAGAGGAGGGCTCAGAGTATTACAAGACCTGCGGGAGGAGCACCTGGGTGGCTCGGTCGGTTAAGCGTCTGCCTTCAGCTCAGGTCACGATCCTGGGGTTCTAGGAAGGAGCCCGGCATTGGACTCCCTGCCCAAGGGGAGCCTGCTTCTCCCTCTGCCCCTCCTTAAA